CTCGAAAAGAAATAATTGTCAAACTTTAAGACTGATTCAATTTGGCCATCAAAAGACCTTATATTGCTTATATGCTTTGAATTTTTTCCTTCATATAAATGAAAAAGAAGAAGCAGAAGATGTTATTATATCTTTTAAAACACAACTCGTATTTCTTACTTAAAGAAGAAAATAATTGATTGCAGCATATGAGGTGTGAAACTTCATCCCTGCTCACTCATAGCCTAACATAACAGGAGGATACATCGTTTGTCTTTTTGATATAAAAGATTATTTTAACAGGAGTAATATATATATATATAGATAAAAGTAGACTTTTTTTTTCAAATATTGTAAACATATGTCTTTTATTTATTCATTGAGCTTTTATTTATTTATTTATTTATCCGAAAAGTTAGATTTGCTTTTACTCCTGGTGAACTTCAATATTTTCTAATTTTTTCAAGTATTTATAAATTCGAAGATATATTTTCATCCATTCCATCTGGATTCTCCACACAATTCCAAAATCTACTACCCCTAAAAGAAAAAAAAAATCTACTCATTAATAGTCAATATCACCTTTTTCCCTTTGTTACAATCACTTGATCATCGTTATGACATTTCATTAATTCTCAGAACCGATCAAAAACCAAAAATTCTCATTGACTCATATTAATTATATGAGGTAATTGCAACCAACTGATCAATTTCTTTTGTCTACATGTGAAACAAAATCTTCATCCTAATCCTCAATAAAAAAAAATGTTCATCACTTCATTACATACATGGCAAATTCACATTTTGACACGTTAAAGTAAATAGAGGAATTATTACATTTTCACATATATAGATGAAAGAACACAATGACACTAATGTCATATGGGAATAGAAACAGCCTAAAAACAACTTTAAATGGACAATAATCCTAATAACTTACAAATAATCTACTCAAAATCAGTAACCAAAAGCAAATATGACCAAGAAGAAGCTTATTCCCAACAAAGAACCAATTAAGCCACCAAAAGTAATTGATGCAGCAGATGGAGACTGTGCAGGAGCAAAGGGCTGAACGATCACTGGCGCAGGAGGACTCGCGGCTGCAGGAGGAGGAGTGTTAGGGTTAATTGGTGAAGGAGTCGGGGCGAAAATCGGAGCAGGAGACGGAGAAGGAGAAGGAGAGGGAGGATTGGCCGCAACTGGTGATGGAGCATCGGTAGGATTGCCTCTTGGATGCAACACAACAATGATAAGCCTCTGACCCTTCTGGCAATTATCTGCATGACCACTGATGAAAAAGAATGGACCTGACCTGTTAAACTTGAACACTGATTCCCCATCTTTGAGAGCTAAAAAGGGGTTTTCCTTGTTGCAGTTGTAGTAATCATCTTTATCTACTTCCAGAACATCATCATAGCCTTTCTTGTATCTAAAAACTGCAAGAAAAAAGAAAACATCATTAAAGGGCTAAAATTTTTGATGAAAAACCAAGATTTTGCATGCAGAAATATGTAGACGTCCAATGATTAATCATTAACAAGAAAAAAGGGTTTTAGTACTGAGGGTGTCATTGATCTGAAATCGGTTTCTTCCAGCCCATTGATTGTAATCTTCTTTGGGTTTTAAGACCCAACCATCTCTGCCACCAACATAGAAGGTGTAAGATTGAGATGCCGAGAGAAAAAATCCTAGAAAAGTCACCAAGAAAATGGTGAAGGCTATTCGTTGATCAAACTCCATAATTTTTAGAGGGATAGATATATTGAATATATTGGAAATTTGAGAAATATCTAAGTTTCTTTTAGTAGTGATTGATGGAATATGATCAAGTTGGCAAAGGAAACGAGTATTTTGCACTAGCAAAAACAAGAGAGAGATGGCTAAAGACTGAAGACTGGAGAGAAAAAGTGAGAAATTTTAGGATGAATTTAGGCAGTGAGAAATGAGAAAAGTGGGGTATTTATTATCGGCGTGAATGAGATTACCGTTGTATTATCAATTATGAGATGAAAATAAAATATGTGTGAGTCTTCGATGCAAAATTTGGCGTTACTATGAGTAAGCAATTTTTGGCAAGTGATTACATTTGGCATAATCAGAGAGATTTAACGGTCATAGGTAATTCAAAGCAAAGCTCCATTTTGAACCAATTTTTGAATGCTTTCCCAAGAAAGATAGAGAAATAAATCGGAACCAAAGCTGGACTTTTTAATTGTACTTTACCTTTTCAGAATCCAAGTGGTGTGATGGCCCAATTTACATATTTCTCGGATTAATTTCAATTTTGTGGCCCGTATTACTGTCTTAGAAGCATACACAAAAATGACAAAACGATTCAAATTAAAGTCTACAGTATACTTTCTTGATCATTGCTGGAACCTTAAATAGTTTATCTTAGGCATCATGAAATGTGTCTGAAGAACATGAGCAAATAATAGGAATAGCACTTAGGTAGCAAGAAAAAAGGAATTGGAATTTCAAGTATCATAGTATGATGTTATGGTCCAAATTAGAGTGACCCTTCACAGGTTTTTTTTGGGTTGGGTTTGCAACACATCTATGATAGAACATGTAATCAATTATCGGATTAGGCCATTAAGTTTTGTTGTAATAATTACAATGATTAACATTCGAAAAAGATATTATTATTTTTTATTTACTTTCCATTACTCCTGTCCAATAGGAAGATAGTCCCATATATATATATATATATATATATATATATATATATATATATATATATATATATATAGGCTGGAAGTTAGTGTTTATAGTAGAAAAGATAATAAAAGGAAAAAGCAAAATATACATGAGTTGGACTTTTTACATGGACAAAAACACAAATAGATTTAGACTATGCCTTCCAATTAACCCTCGCTAATAAACTAAGCTAGTAAACTGACTTTAGTGAGGCAATTTGATATCGACAAAGTGGACAAATGTTCCTTACTCCAAGCCAATTCACTATGCAACTCCCATGATAAATATGCAAACATGGCATTCTTGTAGCTTCACAACCCTCTTCAAGTTTCTTCATACATGTCATATCATACAGTGGCTAGCTCCAGCTTCACAATCTTCAACCTTGACTTTCTCTAAAGCTTCAGCTGTTTCTTTGCTCGCAGGGCTTATTCTCAAGTCAGCTTCCATTGATTCTCTCATTGCCAAAAGGTGTCCTTCTCGCGTATTATCCACAATCACACCAATCAAGACAATCATCGGTAACACTTTTCTTGTTCTATTTTTGACTTTGCTAGCAATTTCATCTGCACAACTGAGATTTTTTGTATCATAGAAGGTTGTTAATGTGTTGGAACTCCTAATCTTGATAGCATCCTATGGATGATGTCCCAAGTCAAGTTGTTATATGATGATTTTTCACGACATTCCCAAAATTGATGACAAAAAGTTATGCTTCGCAGGTTTCTAGATAGATAATCAGGCATCATGTTTCTCTTATTCTTCTTCCTCCATTGCCATCACATATGTGAACTCAATTTTGAATTAAATGTAGAATTGATCGTAAGGTTTCAATTCAACTGGAGGGATGTTTAAGTAGCTACCTTCCCATGCATGGCACAAATCGTCAACTGGGATCTCTTGATCACACTCTTGATTAGTTTTTGAAAAGAACAAGAACTTAACTAAGAGAAATAAGGTTATTGCGCAACTTAAGCGTTTAAGGGTTTTAGTTATATTTATCTAAGTTTTAAACCAGTTTTCAAATTCTACAAGGATTAGGCTCTTAATCCCGGTAAAATAGGAACAAGATATTGTTTTTGAATCTTGTCTTGAATTTTATTAGGATAGTGATTAGTTTAAGAGTCAATCAAATCTTGGATGAATTTACAAATTGGGCTATTTAACATATATGAAGATTTGATATCCCTTTACCGAGTTAAATTTCAAAGATGCTATGGTATCATTCGCCGCTACATTAACCAACGTTCATTCAACCCGAGAGAAAAGTAGCAAAATATCTTTCTGTTTCTCAGCCACATAAAAGTTAAAATCTTAGGAGTTGTCTAGGATGATCTAGGTAGTCTATTACTTTAAAATTTTCCATAAAATTTGCAAATATGCATGACTGGCAATTTTTCTTTTTTACTTTGGCATATCATTGAAAGTAGTTGCTTTGATTTTTAGAGGAGCAATAGAATTTTGGACCCAAAGATTAAAGTTCTTATGCTTCAAAGCATCTTCCAAGTCTTCCTACACTTCCCTCCAAGATGAAAATCAATACTTTTGTATAGGGTTATAATCGAATCGCATTGAATTTTTTACTGTTCAAGCTCCATTCTATTTAATATTTGATGGGTTTGAGCTCGATTTAAGAGCACAAAAATTTATTTAATTCTTTGATTTTTAATATTAAATTATCACTAATACATATGATATATAATAAATATATAATTTCATATAAATTATTAACAAATATTTTAAATAAAAATATAAAAAATTATTCAAATTGAATCCGACCTTAACGAGCTGAATATCTATAAGTTTGACAACGATTAAATACCATAAATGAATCCTAATTCCTACTCGAAATATAACTCAAGTTTATTAAAAATCAAATTTGAATCAAATTCTTAACGAATTGAGATCGAATGCTTCATTAAAAGTACGGTTCATTTATAGTCCTGGTCTCGTATGCTAGCATTGACACTAATAAGGGACACAAAATCAATGTAGCCCAACTAGAAAATCAATTATTTGATAAAAAAAAAAAGAAAATCAATTTCTTCATAAACCTTTTCGTTTTTTTTCCCTCACAAAATTGAGGGCGCCCGAAACAGAAAACTCTAAAATCTCTGAGTTGTCAAAATAAAAAGAAAAGAAATTAAAATTCCAAACTCCAAAATAGGCGCCAGGCGGTTTGTCGGTTACCGGAAACAAAAAAGTTATTTTGAAACACCCCAGAAACATTTGTAAGTTTTCAAAAAACGGAAAAAACAGACTATTTTAACCAAAATTGTCGCAGAAACATTCAAGATTTTGATCTCAATCTCCAATTTTCCATGTCTTTGAGCACTTTCAAGGAGACCCTTAAGCCCTGCAAAAACAACCCATCTGCATCATCTTCTTCTTCTTCATCTTTTTCTTCAATTTCCCACAATTTTGACTCTTCCATAAACCCTAGGAAACCCCCCAAATCTTCACTGTCTCAGCAGCTTTTGCGCCTTCAACACCAAGAGTCCACCTTCTATTTGCCTCGGACTCAGCTAAAAAGCCCAAAAACAGAGACCCTTTTGGGACCTGAAGCTGAAGATAATGATGATGAAGAAGAAGCGGAGGAGGAAAAAAAGCAAGATAGGATTTTTAGGCCAAAGATGGAGTCTTTTCAGTTTGATCATACTGGACCTTTTGAACCATTAGTTCTCTCTTTACCTGGTGAAATTTCTGTGGTTCAGGTGATTTGTGGATATCCCAGTATGTTAAAGCATTTCATACTGGCATTTTCCTTTTCGGTTTCTATGATTTCAATTTTTATAGCTTTTATAGAATGCGATGAAGATCAAAACCTGGCATGTAGCCCAGGGGAAAGGTTTCTCTCGTTTTTCGAGTAAAATAATGGTTTATGTAAATTCTTCATTTTTTTTCTAAAGATAATCAAAGAAGACTTCTAAATGTGCATTAGAAGAAGTAAATACATGTACTAAGATTAGTATTTGTTGTATTAAATTAGTTATATTGGAGATTAATTTGCTTACATCTGCTTGTTGTAAATGATAGTTTGACCTTGTCTTTTGTTTTAAGAGCTACTGCAACGTGTTAAAGTATATTTGTTTTATGTCGAGTGTTTTTAATTTCTACTTCCAATTTTATTTTGCACTAGTTTTCCTAATGAATTAGTTATTGGCTATTCTTTTGACGATTGATGATGGAGGACTAGTAATGAGTTGGTATTGTTTGTTGTAGTGTATAAAGAATGCTTTTCCTCCATGCTCATATAGTTTTAGTCTGTAGGATTAATCAACACGTGTGTGAATTTCCTATTAGCTAGAAGAATATGTCAGCGGTAAGAGGGATTTGATTTCCTCCACAACTGGGTGAAGTATTGGCAGATTTAGGGGTACTGTCTTCTATTTGGTGTTTGAACTTGAAGTCTTTGGAAAAGTTTTTTCTTTCTTTTTCTGAAACTGACATTTGAAAATTCTTCAAGTTCTGATTTTGGACATCTTCTGCTGTTACTTGAATTAGTTGGTTCCTGCTTCTTGTTTCTGTATGCCTTCCTTTTTTCTTATTACTATTCACTTTTTTGTTCCTTCACGAATTTTAAATTGTTGTAGTGACAGTCATCTACTTTTTCCCTACCCAACAAATTTGATATAGTGAGTCCCTCTTTGTGATGTTTCAGACCATTATGTATTCATTCTTGAGGCTTAATATAAGTGAAAAATGTTAATTTTTGTTACAGGTACCCCCATCTATTAATTGCAGACTCTTAGAACATCAGCGAGCTGGTGTTAAATTTTTATATAATTTATACAGGAACAATCATGGAGGTGTTTTGGGAGATGACATGTGAGTTTAAATTTTCTTTCCAGATATTTTCCTTGATTGAGTGGACTTTGAATTTTATTGCTGTGACTTCCAATTGAGACAATGTCTAATAGGACATTTTGTTTGCTCTTTCCTTTTTTGGTTTGCAGTTCTGTCGGTCATCACATCCTGTCTTTTTTTTTTTTTTAATTGGTTGGAAAAGGTAGAGAAGGACACAAGTATTTAAATAAGGTTAATTAGTATACAAGAAAAGCATATAAAGATGTAGAGACTAGTATCTTTTCCTTGTTCTGCTACAAATAAACCAAATTTTGCTTCTGCGTCCTCTCTCCTGCTCTGCATTGGTTAATTTGAAATGATTTTGCTGCACTAGACTTGGAAAAGGCTTATTGAGGAGTATTGTCTGATAATGCTTTATCCAACCTTCTCATTAAGAAGTCACCCCTTTTTACATTGTTTCTTTTTTGTTATTATTATAAAGTTTTCAGAATTGTCTGATGAAGAATATAGATTCTTAAGTTAGTACTGAATCATCACTTTCGTAAATCCCATTGAACTTACTAACTCAATCATCAAAGTTTGGTAAATCCCATTGAACTTAGTGTTACTCCTAATTATTTTCTAATATCATTTTCTTTTTCTGAGTCAAAAACTCTTGTTTATCAGGGGATTGGGCAAGACAATCCAGACAATTGCATTTTTGGCTGCTGTTTTTGGAAAGGACGAAGAAGCTGACAACTTAACATCATTGAGGGGAAATCAGCCTGAGAAGAATGACTGTGTTCTAATTGTTTGTCCGACATCTGTTATTCACAACTGGGAGAATGAATTTTCAAAGTGGGCACCGTTCTCTATCGCTGTTTATCATGGACCTAACCGTGATTTAATAATTGACAAACTAGAAGCTCGAGAAGTGGAGATATTGATAACTAGTTTTGACACCTACAGAATTCACGGTACTATATTGTCAAAAGTTCAATGGGAGATAGTGATTGTTGATGAGGCACACAGGCTAAAGAATGAGAAGTCAAAACTTTATAGAGCAATTTTAGAGATTAAAACCCAGAAACGATACGGTTTGACAGGAACAATCATGCAGAACAAACTAATGGAATTGTTCAATTTGTTTGAATGGGTAGTACCTGGTTGCTTAGGAACACGTGAACATTTCAGGGAGTTTTATGATGAACCTCTCAAGCATGGCCAAAGGTCAAGTGCTCCAGAAAGATTTATTAGAGTTGCTGATGATCGAAAACAGCACTTAGTGACAGTATTACGCAAGTATTTGTTGAGAAGGACCAAGGAGGAAACCATCGGGCATCTTATGATGGGAAAGGAAGATAATGTTGTATTCTGTGCCATGAGTGAGTTGCAGAAACGGGTATACCAGAGAATGTTACAGCTACCTGATATCCAGTGCCTTATTAATAAGGACCTTCCATGTAGCTGTGGTAGCCCTCTGAAACAAGTAGAGTGTTGCAAAAAGATAGTGCCCAATGGAGTCATTTGGCCATACCTTCACAGAGATAATCCAGATGGTTGTGATTCATGTCCTTTTTGCCTTGTTCTCCCTTGCCTTGTCAAGCTTCAGCAGGTAATTGATTTTCTTATTGTACCTTCAGATATTCTGCTTGTAAGGTGCTCTAAGACATTAGAGCTATTAAAAGAAACTGATCCCTTGCAAGGGCCAACTGTAGCTTTTTTACCTTTATTTCTCCGGTCGAATGCATTTTTTCATGGTCAATAGGATTCGAGGTGATGGTTGACTACCACCACTTACAGTTATATCTTATAATCACTTGAGTAAGGCCATGTGGCTACCGTTTTGCTTAAGATATGAATGTAAAATTTGGTTTAGGACAGAGTGTTTATCAATTAAGAACAAAAGTAGTGGTAGCTTCAGGATTGATCAAGTGAATTGAATGAAAGAAAGACCTCCCATCATACCAATGGTTTTTCCCGCCGATTTTTGCTGCTATATATATATATATATATTATATTTTATCTTTATTTAACACTTGTCTGATAGGTGAGTAATCACTTAGAGCTCATCAAACCAAATCCAAAGGACGATCCTGATAAACAAAGAAAAGATGCAGAATTCGCTGCTGCAGTATTTGGTACAGACATTGATTTGGTGGGAGGACATACCCAGGATGAGAGTTTTATGGGTCTAAGTAATGTCAAACATTGTGGTAAGATGAGGGCTCTGGAAAAATTAATGTTCTCATGGCTTTCCCGGGGTGACAAGGTCCTACTTTTCAGTTACTCTGTCAGGTAGAAGTTTAAAGCTTTACATTTGATTAGCCTTTAATTCTTGTTTATGCATTTTTTCATAACTTTACTGCATGTAGACTATAGTTCCAGTTTCCCTTCTCAGGTGCCAAAAATTTGCATGTGCTGCTCAAAGTTTCCAGTGTATGCTTTACTGGCTCCTGGTAAAAAATTCCAAGGATCTTGAATGCGACTTGTCTGCTAAAATAAACTTTAGCAAGTCGTTATCTTTTCTTCTTTTCTCAATTTTGTTGTTTTTTTGGGTTTCTTCTTCCTTATGGGGTGCCCAATGGGATCGGGCACTGTTTTGGTTTAACGGATAGAACTTCACTCTGTTGTTTTGGAAAAGAAAAGAGAAAGCTACTCTGTGGTTGATGTTTTAAAATAATATATGGAAATCAGAATTTTACTTGGAAGCTATGTTATCTGTTAAGTTTTGGTCTTTATTGGTCTTAGAATAAATTAGTTGTACTTAAATGTTCTTGATATTTTGAAATAGGACTTGCAGTAATGTCCCTGCAATGAATTGGCTCTTTGCACCATAATGGATGAAGAATCTACACTTGGCTCTAAACACTTCTAAGAGTTGAGACAGCTTGTCATTGCCCTCTTATTCTTTTAATGTTTTTCTTTTGAGCAGAATGCTGGACATACTTGAAAAGTTCCTTATACGCAAAGGCTGTTGCTTTTCAAGACTTGATGGATCTACTCCGACTGGAGTACGCCAGTCTCTTGTTGATGACTTCAACTCAAGTCCAAGCAAACAGGTTAGTTTTGACATTTGGAGTCAGTTTTGATACTGTGAGACTCAATTTTGTAATTTTACTTCTTAATTGCAGGTCTTCCTCATATCAACTCGAGCTGGTGGGCTTGGACTCAATCTTGTTAGTGCAAATCGTGTAGTGATCTTTGACCCAAATTGGAATCCTGCCCAGGATTTGCAGGCACAAGACAGGTCATTCCGTTATGGGCAGAAGCGGCATGTCATTGTTTTCCGTCTTCTTGCAGCCGGTTCTCTAGAGGAACTAGTTTACACCAGGCAGGTTTACAAGCAACAACTAGCAAATATTGCTGTTTCTGGGAAAATGGAGAAACGTTACTTTGATGGTGTGCAGGTACTGTTGCTGATTTTCTGATTCTGTGCACAGTTGTCTTCTTATATCATAGTCGTGATCATTAAGACTTGGGGTCCTTGATCCCACTTTTCAGGATTGCAGAGAATTTCAAGGAGAGCTGTTTGGTATCTGCAATTTGTTCCGCGACCTGTCTGATAAGCTTTTCACCAGTGAAATAATTGAATTGCATGAAAAGCAAGGAATAGAGCATGGAGATTGTGAGAGTTCAAAGCAGATTTTTACTGAACTTCAGAAGTGTTTTCTTCCACAGAAGGAATTAACTAATACGTCTGCGGAAGCATCTCAGAACAGCAAACCTAAAGATGCAAGTAAAGAACCGGTCGAACCAGTACTTGAAGACTTGGGTGAGTGTATTATTTGTCGACTTGGCTTTGAAAAGTTGAAGTACCTCTACTGATGCCATGCCCTCTTATGTTCCAGTAATATTCTTTTCCTTTAGTTTTTTCATTAGCAAAAGGTTTGTCAAAGTATCTATTAGAACGTAATAGGCTGGATCTAGTTTGTCACAGTGTAACTTATGCTGTAATATTCGGTTCAGGTATTGTATACGCTCACCGAAATGAAGATATTGTTAATTACGGACCCTGGATTCAAGGAGATAAAGAATTGGATACGAATTTAAAGGGCACTGTGCAACATTCACTCCTTCTTGTTGCCAGGAGGAGGAAATCAGAAGCAGTAGCAGGTAGCAAAAATACTATAGAAAATGCTGCTTCATCCAAGATGAGGAAAAAGAGCCAGTATAGCCTCCTTGCTCAGTTCATGGGTATGGAGGAAGTAGAATTCAGCAAGTGGTTACTTTCAGCGAATCCAGAAGAACGGGAGAAAGTCCTCCGGGACTATAAGAGGAGAAAGGATAAGATTCCAAATGGCTGATATCTTTCCTCATCAGGAAGGCAGAGTTTTTGTAATGCAAATTGTAACGCTTTGTGGATAGATTTCTGTCTCCGTCGCTCTGGCAGTCTTTTCAGGCCAAATTGACTGTGGCCATATTCTGGCCTTCTGGCCTCATCGTAACATAGTGTAAGCGTCAATCTGTCTGTAGTTAGCAAATATGTTGTTTGTCCATAGATCTTTCCCAAACTATGGAAGTCGGTTGCTGTCATTTGGGACTTTAGCCGTGAGTCGCTGTATGCATTCGTTTACTGACGTCTGGGTTAATTCTCTTGATCCGTTAATCTTCTTGGAAGTTTTTTTAGAGCATACTAATTGATGCACTTGGAAGACAAGGTTGAAACTCCCTCTCTCACTTGGAACTTTTTTTTTTGGGGGCATTTTTATATCAACAATGGACTCAAAAAACGGCCTGGACTTTTGGTTTGTTTGTTTGTAGAGGAAATGGTGCTTTCATGCACAACCAATGGTGCCATCTAGCCTGTTTGTTAGGAGCAAATTGAATATGCCACGCCAGCGGATTTATTTATTTAGCACTTCATTCTTCATTCTTATATAAGATTTCGATTGAATTCAATTCTTTTTTTTTCCCCCTTGAAATAGTAAAATTATATGTTGGAAACAATTTAGATAAAGAAAATTCATTTCTAGTGGTTGTGGATGTTAATCTATTTTAACCATTAGTATAGTACTAAAGGGTAAATTTGATTACTATCTTGTTTATACAGGTCTATTTCAATCTGCCTAACTGGGAAAATATGTTGCTTTTGTCAAGAAGTCAATTGACTTTTACTGACTAAACAAACCTAATCTCCAGAGCATACTCCAAAATATGGGAAACTATGTTGCTGGATGCCACAAAATATGTGTGAAGATTGACTACTCATATATATGGTCTTATATTGACCTATTACTCTGAATTCTTTTTTACCCTTTTGGTAGCACTGTTCCATCCTCTGTATAGCAGGTTCATAAACCCTCCTTAGAGATTTAGATACCTGAAGATCATGAACAAAAATGATGATGACAATTTCGATAGAGTTGGAGAATCAAATCCCCCGCACTCAATTTCGTGCCAGAACGCAAACTTCACAATATCATAGCATGCATACATCACTTCGAAGTCCAAAATACGTTAATCAGAAGGGAATTAATGGTGGAAGAAATATGAGACGCGCATCTAAGGTCAATAGGGCAGACCCAGCTGATGAAGCTTAATAGCAGCAGCAAAGAGATAGTGGTAGCATTCAGCCTGGCAAAGCATTAACGATTAGAGAATAGGAAGAAATGTTCAAACTTCAAAGTACAAATTGAGAGTATTCAGTGACGTTAAATGCACGTTATTCCTGCAGTAGCCCTAATTGAAAATGCAGAACTAGAATTTATCAGAGAATGGGAAGAAATGTTGTTCAAAGGAAAAAGTACAACAAATTACAAGTGCCAAATGCAGTTGAGTACAAGCCAGAAGTGAAAATTACTACCACACAGTCCTAATGGAAAATGCAGAACCAAAATAGCATTGAAGTCGAAATATTGTGGTTCTATACAACTTAGAATCAAAGACTGGAACATTGGTGAAAACAAGTGAAAGCCAGTTTGCACCTTGGCTAGATGGCCTGTTAATGATTCATCAAGTATGTCCGTCTAATCAAAGAAGAATACTAAATGAAGAAATAAGTATAGTTTGTTATATAAACCTGGGTTTTGGCACTAATCCAGGTGTCTCCCCATATGAACACACCATGCCTGCGAACGAGTACTGCAGTTGACTTTGGATAACCTCTGATCTACAGGACCAGAACGTTAAACTCTGTTAAGATTCTGCAATTGCAACCTATGCAAATAAAACTTCTATTGTACTATAAATCTGCCACCGTTCTCTAGATAATCTAAAATATTTGCTGAACTAGAAATTTGCTAGCAGAGGATACCGCTTTAGTAAGTGACTCCACAAGCTTCCTCTCACTGGGAGCATTCTCAATTATTGGCACAACAAGCTCGTCATGGTAACCATGCCCTTGAATACCCTTTATCATCTCCATGTTTCTGATCTGTATCCCAACAATTCCTGATGTACAATCAACAGAACCAAATTTAAGATAATAAGAAGGCAAGGTCGATGCAGTTGTCTTTCAATTGGAAATGTTTTGGGAGAAAGAAAATTACGTGGAACTCGTTCGACAAAGAATTAATCATTGTCACAAGGCAAGCATCCAATCCATGACTGTGAATCACAGCTCCTGCATTACACATTTCATAAACCTATAGAACACAAGAAGTCAGGGTAACATACATGCAAAAATGGCGAGTCAGGAAGATGTCGAGGATAATTAAAATGTATCGGGATAACAACAAATGAGCAAGCTTAGAACTGATGTACCTTGAGAAATAGAGGAGCACAGTCAGTACATTTTGGAGGGTTGTTAGGATATGACTTGGTAGGAGGTGGAGAAAAAATAGATCCACTAGAAGAAAGAACATACATGTCCTCTGGCGACATCCTATCCTTCTGTACACCTACGATACATTATATCGTATTAGCAGAAAACAGGAGGGAGAAGGCAGCAGTCAGAGACAGAAGAAGGGAGAGAAAACCTGAAGGAGACATGACTATGAATTGATTCTGTTTGGAGACATTATGCTCATGGACTTTCACGGTTACACTACCTCCAGTACCTGAAAGCCATCCAAGTTTATAAAATTGCATAGATAGTTCTGACACTAAAGCCTTTGTTTGCTTCAAAGAGTTGCTTTGAACTCTTGGCCAATATGCAGCTTCAAACGCGTCTGCTGGTATTTCAAACACTTCCGCCTGTGGAGAACTCATGCTGGCTTCTCTGCAATGGACATTGATGTTGATTCAGCTTCTCAAGTTTCAATCAAAATGCTACTATATCCACAAGAAGCATATTCAATGCAGTTTTATGTACTAGACTAACCATGGTTCAAAGTCGCGGTCGCGGTTGCGGTCGCAGCTTGGACCGTTCCACATCGGTCTCGGCATATCGGTCGCGGTCTCGGCGAGACGCGAATTTTTGAAATATTTAACATTCTAAAAATTGTAAAAAATATGATAAACAAAAATAATTAAAAAATTTGTAAAAATAATAAAAATTCGAGTTGATTCGGGATGACTCGGAGTGACTTGGTAAGACTCGGCCGTTTCAACCCTTCACGGTGACGTCTCGGCGAGTCACGTATCTTGGTATCATTTCGTCGCGGTCTCGTCTCGAACTAGGCCGAGACAGTGACGACTCGGTCTATGTCTCGACCGAGTCGCCGAACCATGAGACTAACTGCATATTTCATGCCTATTTGGCTATGAAATCATTTTCACATTTGCAAGAACCTGAAACAAAACTTCTGTTTCTTTTTTTCTTTTTTCCATCTATAACAAGTTTGCAAGGGCCGGTGCAATAGCAATCCAGAAAGTTTATATGATTAGGAATGTTAAAACAACCTAAAATAAGCAATTTTGGTCACATTCTCATTGACCTCGAGGGCCAATAAAACCAGATAGATTTTCCTACATGGACAGCCATATATAATTTGGCTAATTCAAACGTCACAACCATATACTCGTTACAGAAAACAAAGATAGTTACATAAATTTATCCCACAATAAGTCACTAAATCGCTCCAAGCTTTTCAAAGAAAACTCTATAACATCATCCACTAATTAACTTTTTGTAGAACATTAGCCTGATCTAGCCAAAAGATTTGAACTTGCAATAAGTTGTCATAAAAAATTAAAAAAAAAGGGACACCTCTGTGAAGAATGAAGATAGCAGGATTTGAGGAGGTAATAGATAGTAAAATGTGATATGCGTAGAGAATATATGAAGGTTTAAACACGTATTGCGCAAGACTGAAAAAATATGTTGAGGGAAACCAGAAGATGGGAAAGCTGTGAAGTCTAGATAACCAAGCCAGAATTTTTTTTTGCACATCAAGGATGGCCATTATTGTTCCAAGAAATGTCTAAATGCAATGACCAAATAGCTAATCAAGATACTATAAAGCTCCAATTCCATGCAATATTCAATGTTCCTTGAAGATTAGATTTTGACTTGACGTTACAAACAATTTATTCTAATCTTTGAGCTTTTTTATGCGAATTTAAAAAGACAAGATTACACTTTTCTTTCTTTCTTCTTCCTTTTTTTTTTTTTTTTTTTTGGGGTGTTGGGGGGGGGGGGAACGGTTTGAATTTGCAATGGCTATCTCGTTGTGTATGCATGCACCAGATTCATAAACTTGTCTAACCCATAATTCACTCCTACCAATTAACCAGGCATGCAAATAGACAAATGGTCATTCATTCAGTCGTCAAATTCACATGTAAAAAGTTAGCATTTTTCTTCGAGTATGTGGGAAATGTTAAAATTAATAAACATGCTTATGTTCTCCATATCAATGGTTAGCTTCACCTAGCAGGAATTTTTACTACTTACATCATAATATAGACCAAGTGCCGTGTACCTGTGGTAGCCCTCTGAAACAAAGTAGAATGTTGCAAAAAGATAGTGCCCAATGGAGTCATTTGGCCATACCTTCACAGAGATAACCCAGATGGTTGTGATTCATGTCCTTTTTGCCTTGTTCTCCCTTGCGTTGTCAAGCTTCAGCAGGTAATTGATTTTCTTATTGTACCTTCAGATATTCTGCTTGTAAGGTGCTCTAAGACATTTGAGTTATTAAAAGAAACTGATCCATTACAAGGGCCAACTGTAGCTTTCCCAGACAGTCGTTTCACTTATGATATGAATATACAGATTGGTTTAGGATAGAGTGTTCATCAATTAATAACAAAAGTAGTGGTAGCTTCAGGATTCATCAAGTGAATTGAATAATAGAAAAACCTCCCATCGTACCCATGTTTTTTTTCCCAGACGTTTGCTTAATATATATATATAGACTATTATATATAATATAATAGAAGGTCCTACTTTTCAGTTACTCTGTCAGGTAGAAGTTTAAAGCTTCACATTTTATTAGCCTCTAATTCTTGTTTACACATTTTTTCATAACTTGACTGCATCTAGACTATAGTGCCAAAAATTCGCACGTGCTCCTCAAAGTTTCCAGTGTATGCTTTACTGGCTCCTGGTCAAAAATTCCAAGGATCTTGAATGCTACTTGTATGCTGAAATAAACTTTAGCAAGTCGTTATCTTTTCTTCTTTTCTCAATTTTGTTGTTTTTTTGGGTTTCTTCTTCCTTATGGGGTGCTCAATGGGATCGGGCACTGTTTTGGTTTAACGGATGGAACTTCACTCTGTTGTTTTGGAAAAGAAAAGAGAAAGCTACTCTGTGGTTGATGTTTTAAAATAATATATGGAAATCA